GCCATCCGCGTCCGTCCTGCTTTGGCTCCGAGCACAGCTCCGCCGCCCGCGCAGCACAGAGGCAGCCAGCTGCTCCTCCCCGGCGGGGGCGGCTCCCGGTGCGCAGCCTGAGCAGCCGGCGCAGCCGGAGCAGGGAGGCGCCCTGCCCGCTTGGAGGGCACCCTGCCCCTCTGTACTGCTAGGCTGCCCACCTGCGGGGGGGGGGGTGCGGGGCAGGCGTGGAGGCGGTGGAGAGCGATGGCGCGGTAGTTGCCAGAACAGACACCACACGTGGGGCCCAGGAGGTCCCTGTGAGAGGAGGTGGGGAGCAGCCGGGAGGGCCGTGCTGGTGATACAGGCTCCCTGGAGGAGACCCTGGTGACCATTTTACAGATGAGGAAAGTGAGCCTGGAAGGGGCCTGCCCCTCCCTGCCCCTCTCCCCACCCCCCAGCATTCCAAGCCAGAGCCAAGGACCTTGCCGGCCCGGTTGGGTCAGGCTCCTGGCGCTGCCCACGTGGGCCCAGCAGCCTGGGGGTGGGGCGGGGGTGGGGGCGGCATCCACGTGCTCACCCGCACAGCATGTCTGGCCCAGAATCTGACTGCCCCGGCCCGGCCCTGGCCACAGCCCCTGGCAGTGCCAGTGTGCAGCCAAGGCCCCTCCTCCACGCTCAGTCTCTGCTTTGTCCTCTCTGCTCGGGGGCAGGCAGCCTGGAGCAGGGGGGACCCAGGACCCGCTGGGGGCAGGCAGCCTGGAGTGGGGGGCGGGGGAGGGGAGAGACACCGGACCGCTGGGGGCAGGCAGCCTGGAGCAGGGGGGACCCAGAACCCGCTGTGGGCAGAGACCGCCAGGCCCACCCCGGCACCCGGAGGCCTAGACCCCACACACCTCAGCGCCTGTCTGCCCGTCCCTTCTCCCTGGGCACCGAGTCCTCGGGCCGGGAGAGGCCTGTCTGGGGGCTGCGGGCCCGGGAGGGACCCCGGGCTCCTGGGCGAGCCGCTGGTCTGGGGGGGAAGCCGGCATTGTCCCCCCTGCGCCCTCGGAGCCTGTGAGGAGCTGAGGACGGGTCAAACGCTGACCTCACCCCGCCCGCCCGGCCCACGGGGCTGCACACATCACTCCCTCCGTGTCTGCTTCGGGACTGACTCAGCCACCCGGGGCCACCCGGGGCCGGCGGGCACTGCGCCCCAGGCGGGGCTGCCAGGCTCGGCCCCAGGGCGTCGGAGGGACCAGGCCATCGGGAACTCGCCCTGCCCTGTTCCTGGCAGCTGGGGAGGCCCAGGCCCCTCGGTGACAGTGGGAGGCGAGGGCAGAGCCCGCCGCCAGCCCGGGGTGCAGGTGGAAGCGAAAGCCGAGCTTCCTGGCGAGGGCGCCTCCACCCTTCCTGTGCTCCCACCCGCCTGGCCGCCGCGGGGCGGGGCGCTCCCGCCGTCTGGGAGCAGCCGGCCTGGGCTGCACCGAGGGCTGCACCGAGGGCTGCACCGGACCCCAGCAGGGGCAGGCCCAGGCGGCACCGCCTCCACCCGCCCCGCCCGCCCCCTCTGTGCTGGTTCCTGTTGGCCCAGGTCCGTCGCCCACCTCGGTGCTCCCAGTGGCTTCTCCCCTGACCCAGGCGAGCGGGGGGCGTGGAGGATGAGGCCGGGCCGGGCCTGGGCACAGCATGTCTGACCCGTCCCAGAGCCGGGCTCACCGTGGGCCACGCCCTGGCCCGGCTCACGCCCCAGCTCTCAGCCCCGCCGGCTCCTCCCATGCCCGGCTCCGGCTGTGCCAGGAGGCCCCGCGCCTGGCTCCTCCCTGTTCCCTGAGGTGTGCGGGTCCTCCTCGCTCTGTCTTCCTTCTCGTTCTAATTCTGAAGGCGACCACGTCCACCCGATGCAACCTCAGTGTGTGTGTGTGAGTGTGTGTGAGTGTGTGTGTGTGTGAGAGAGTGTAGGTGTGTGTGTGTGAGAGTGTGTGTGTGTGTGTGAGTGTGTGTGTGTGTGTGAGTGTGTGTGTGAGTGTGTGTGTGTGAGTGTGTGTGTGTGTGTGTGTGAGTGAGTGTGAGAGTGTGTGTGTGTGTGTGTGTGTGTGTGTGAGTATGAGTGTGTGAGTGTGTTTGTGTGAGTGTGTGTGTGAGTGTGAGTGTGTGAGTGTGTTTGTGTGAGTGTGTGTGTGTGAGTGTGTGTGTGTGAGTGTGTGTGTGTGAGAGTGTTTGTGTGAGTGTGTGTGTGTGAGTGTGTGTGTGTGAGTGTGTGTGTGTGAGTGTGTGTGAGTGAGTGTGAGTGTGTGTGTGTGTGTGTGTGTGAGTATGAGTGTGTGAGTGTGTTTGTGTGAGTGTGTGTGTGAGTGTGTGAGTGTGTGTGTGTGTGTGTGAGTGTGTGAGTGTGTTTGTGTGAGTGTGTGTGTGTGAGTGTGTGTATGTGAGAGAGAGAGCGTGTGACAGACAGTCCCCACGTGCCGTGCCCAGCTCGTGCCCTGCTCCTCGTCTCCGCGGTGACTGGGCGCTGCGCCCACCCCACCTGGATGAGCCTCTCAGGCACCCCCAGGCGGCGAGGGCTGGCCAGGGCGCAGGCCAGGCCGGGGAGCTGACGCAGGCGGCGAGCAGCCAGTTTGGCGGGAGGACACGGTAGCGGTGCTGAGCACCCAGAGCTTCCAGGAACGGGATCCGAGGGCGGCCAGGCAGGGGAAAATCTGGGATCCGGAGGAGCTAAGAATAGAGCGGCAGCCCCGATCCCCGATCCAGAATCCCCACCTGCCATTCCTGCCCACCGGGGATGTCCGCCTGTGCCCGCCGCCCAGGGCCCGGGCCTGTGAGCACCCTGGCAGGGCCACCCTGAAGCTGCCTCCCACCGGCAGCCCCCCTCACCGGTGCCCAGGCCCCAGCCAGTGCTCCCTGTCCCCCAGCCCCTCTGCCAGTGCTGGCAGGGATCAAACACCCGCTTCCCCAGGAGGCCCACAGGCCAGTATCCTGGCCCGTCTGCTCCAGGCTCCGCCTCCGCCTGGGGGCACCTGCCCGGCCTCAGGACAGCCCGGCCAGCGGTGACCGGCCCAGCTCCGAGGGAGGCCCTGCCTTCAGCCCCCGCTGCAGGGGCGGCACCACCCCACCCCAGGGGCGACCCCACGTTATTGGTAGAAAAAGGGGAGCCATCCCATCAGCTCAGCCCCACAGGCTCCATCTACAATCCCCCGAAGTTCCACGGGTGCAGGGGGCAGGGTGCCCTGCCTAGCGGGCAAGAGGGGGCACTGCAACGCCCCTGACCAGCCAGCGGGCCTGCGCCTCGGGGTGCTGGGGGCCCCGTTGGCTCGGTGGCCCTGCTCCACTTGCTCCAGCCTGGCCTGCAGGCCTCGAAGGCGGTGAATGTGAATTCCTGAGCTGGCCCCGCCCCGCCCCGGGAGGCCCCGCCCCGCCCCGGGAGGCCCCGCCCCCGCTGCTGGAGGCCTGAGAACAGCGCGCATTCCTGAGCTGGCCCCGCCCCTTCCCGGGACGCCCCTCCCCTCCCCGGGAGGCCCCGCCCCCGCTGCTGGAGGCCTGAGAACGGCGCATTCCTGAGCTGGCCCCGCCCCTCCCTGGAAGCCCCGCCCCGGAGGCTGCCGCGCCCACCGGGTGAGCGGAGCCGGGAAAGTCCCCGAGGCCCGCCATCCGGGCGCCGGGCCCAGCTGGGAGCCGGACACAGCCCGCGGGCAGGGCCGGGCGGCCTGGGAAGAGGGTGGAGGCCCCCCCCCGCAGGCCTATCGCAGCGCTGAGCACCCTGCCCGCCCGGTCCGGCCGCTCCGCCCATCACCCTGGGCATCACCCTGGGGACCCGCGGTCAGTTTGCAGAGAGCGAGTGTCCTTCCGGAGCCGGGAATGAGCCGTCCCCCCAGGAGCTGCCCAGGCGGGCGTTGTCAGGAAGGGCGTGCCCCAGCCCCCCCCACCCCCCGCGCCCAGAGCACCGGCAGGTCCTTAGGGTGCGAGGCTAGGCTGGTTCAGCTCCCGCCCCCACCCCGAGGCCTGGCCTGGCCAGCTCAGCTCTGTCCACTCAGCCCGCGCCCCTGACCCCCACATCCCCAGCTGCTGGAGTCGGCCTCCAGGGCCGGCGGAGAGGGAGGGGGCTCTGCAGTATTATTGTGTGTGTGTGTGTGTGTGTTACTGTGTACATGCAATAACATGCATGTAATGTGTGTGCACATTGCATTAGACATGTGGATAGGTTAAAATACAGAAACAAGAGGGGTACCTGAGGGGCTGGGGTGTCCTGAGTGGCAGTTTGGGGACCCATTGGGCTGTCCCTGGCGGGCTCCACGCTGGAGAGGGGGCAGGACTCCGGAAGCCAGGGTGTGGCCCCTGGAGCGGAGGTCTGACTTCCTGCAGGCCCCCGGAGCGAGCGCGCTTCCTGGGCTGGTTCCTGCCGATGGAGGCGCTTCCTGGCGGCCGGGTCAGCGGTATCTGTGCCTGCGGCCGGCTCCTGGCCTCGTGCCCCCCCAGCTCTCTCTCCTCCTGGAGACAGCGGATGCTCCTGGGAGGGTGCTCTGCCGGGACCTGCCGGTGGGCCTCCCGGGGAGGAAGGCTGCCCCTCCCACCCGGGTCCCGGGGCTCACTGACCTGAACGGACGCCGTCCACACCGGCCCGGCCAGCGGAGTCCCCGTCTCCGATGGGCGTGGCCAGCTGTGCAGTCAGTGCCAGGACGCAGAGCCGAGGGTCACCATGGGCAGATGGGATCGGTCATCGCCCCCCCAGACCAAAGGGACCCCAAATGGGGTCTCTTCGGGGAGTGAGCCATGGCCGGGGAAGGGGCCCTGGGCAGGGCGGGGGCGGTCCAGGTGGCTCTGGCTGCCGGCTTCCCTGCATCAGGGGCCCCTGGGGCTCTTGGCAGCGCGGGTCACGAGGCCAGAGCGGGCCTGGGAGAGTCTGTCCACGCAGCCGGAGCCAGAGAAGCAGGGGCTCGGGCCAATGGGAGCCGGGAGGGAGGGCCGGCTCCGGGCGCTGCTAAGCAGCAGCACCCAGGGGGCGGCGTGTGCACGCTGGGGCCCGTCGGAGAGGCCGGTGGGCCCGGGCTGCGGCCATGAGGAGCCAGGAGGGCGGGCGGGGCGGCCCGCAGCCGGGCCTGGGGTGGGTGGGCAGAGGCAGCCGGAAGGTCTTGCGTATCTGGGTGAGTGGACGGTGCGGGGCCCCTGGGGCTGGCCTGGGAGGGGGTGTTCGGAGCACCCCAACACCCGCTTTGCTGCCTGGTGGTGCCAGAGGTGCAGGGGGGGAAACTGAGGCTCAGATGGGCAGGGACTTGGCCAAAGTCTGTGGGCAAGGGCCAGGGCTGGGCGCCCACGCAGGTAGCCAGGCCGCCTCGCAGGCGGGCCCCGGGGTCCCGAAGGGCCGTTGGCCCCAGGGGGAGGAAAAGGGGGGAGGCGGGGCTGCCTCCTGGGAGGACCCACGGCAAACGGGAGGGACTGCTGAGAGGCCACATCCGCAGGCGGTGCTCCCTGCTCTGTGCTCCCAGCAGGCCTCGGGGTGGGCTCCGGGAGCCCAAGGGAGGACCCCCCACCCTCACCCAGGCAGTGGGCGCAGGGCCTCCCGGAGGGGCAGCCGCTGGGCTCCCGGCCCGTCAGCCTCATGGCCCTGCCTGGCCGGGGACAGCCCGCTCCCCCTCCCCCTCCGGTGCAGCCGCTGTGGAGCCCCTGGGGTCCAGGCTCACTGGGCTCTGCCGTTTCCCGCTCTGCGCGGTGGGCGCACGCCTGGCTTCTCGGGGCGCCCCTCCTGTAGAGTGGGGTGCACACTCCTGCCCCAGGGGGCGGGGGGTCTGGGGGCTGGGGGTGGGCAGTGCCGAGACCAGGCCGCCCCTCGGGCTTCCCCCAGCGGCTCCACACGGCCCTTCTCGGCTAAATATAAGACTCGAGCCATACATGGCTGCAGGGAGCGTGGGCCGCCTGCCTTGGGCCTGTCCCCAGGGGCTGTGGTTGAGACAGCGTCACGGCCGAGGGCGCCAGGGAGGGGGCGGGTGGTGGCGATGGCGCAGAGGCTCGGCTGGGGGACATTCGGGGTGGAGTTGTGGCAGTGTAACCCCCATCTTACCAAGGGCGCCTCAAAAAGTGGGATTAGGGAGTCATTTATTAACGGCCGGAGGCATAAGAGGGGTAAAGCTCCAGACCTCGCAGCCCGGACAGCTCACCACACACCTTTGTGATGCTCTGTCTGGCTCCATGGGCCGAACGTCACAGGGATGTCCGTTACATTGCTGGGTCTGGAAGGAGGAACCTGGTTCGAGGACAGCTTTCCCAGAAGCAGAACCCGAGCAACTGAGTGATTATCCACGAATCCCTGAATCAACAGGAGCACGTTATCTGGGACCGACCACCTGGACCATTTAGGATGACTGTGTGGTCCGGATTCCGGGGCCACTGAGTCAGCAGGCACGCACTCTCTGTAGCCGCTGAGGCCATTTAGGATAACTGGTCTGTCCCGGGTCCCGGGAATGTCCTCCGGTGACCAGTGGGACACCCACACCATCCTCCATGGAGCGCTGGGAGAGCATCCATGAGTCCAGAAAATCAGAGTAACTCTCTGTTGTTTCAGCAGATGAGTAAGCCCAGACCCAAGCGGCCGTTTCTCAGCCAGACTTCGGGGTCACAGCTGTGGCAGTGGATCCAGCTGCACCCCCGAGCCGAGGGCCTGGGCCACCCCGTCCTCCACCCGCACGCCGGCCGCACATAGGGGCCTGGCAGGCTGCTCCCCTGCGGGGCCTGGTCTTGCCAGAACCGATGGGCGTTGGGCATGACCCTCGAGTCAGCCCCCCAGCCCCACTGACGCCCCACGGGCAGCCTGGGGTGCCGGGCCGCACCCGGGGAGATCAGGGCGCCCCGGACACAACGTGCTGGCTGCCTGTCGCCCCGGTCCGCGTGGGGCTGCCTGGGGTGGCTGGAGGTCGAGGGGCACCCACAGGGCATGCTGCTGCCTCTGGTTACTATGGAGACTCTGTCAGGGTGGGTGCAGGAGCGCCAGGCACGGGGACCCTGCACCGTGAGCTTCGGGGTGCCAGCGGGAAGCGCTGGGGCCCATTTGGTGGGTGGAGGTACCAGGCGGGGGACGCACCGGAGGAGACAGGGGGGCTGGGCAGGCAGGGTAGGCTTCCTGGGGGAGGCGCCAGTCCCCCCTGGCTGACCCCCCCACCCCCTCTACCCTCTGGCCCCGCAGTTCGGCAAGATGTCGGTGAAGGAGGGCGCGCAGCGCAAGTGGGCGGCGCTGAAGGAGAAGCTGGGGCCGCAGGACGCCGACCCCACGGAGGCCAACCTGGAGAATGCGGACCCCGAGCTGTGCATCCGGCTGCTGCAGATGCCCTCCGTGGTCAACTACTCCGGCCTGCGCAAGCGGCTGGAGGGCAGCGACGGCGGCTGGATGGTGCAGTTCCTGGAGCAGAGCGGCCTGGACCTGCTGCTCGAGGCCCTGGCGCGCCTGTCCGGCCGCGGCGTGGCCCGCATCGCCGACGCCCTGCTGCAGCTCACCTGCGTCAGCTGCGTGCGCGCCGTCATGAACTCCCGGCAGGGCATGGAGTACATCCTCAGCAACCAGGCCTACGTGCGCCAGCTCTCCCAGGGTGAGCGGGCGGGCGCCGAGGCGGCCAGGGCAGAGGCGGGAGGGCTAGGCGCCCACCCGGAGGAGACGGGGGCTGGCAGGCAGGGAGGGCTTCCTGGAGGAGCGCCGGTTCCGCCCCTGTGCCCCTAGCCTAAGGGGACCAGGCGCCCCCATTTTTAACAGCTTTTAAAAAATATATCTTATTGATTTTTTTACAGAGGAAGGGAGAGGGATAGAGAGTTAGAAACATCGATGAGAGAGAATCATCGACCAGCTGCCTCTTACACTCCCCCCACTGGGGATGTGCCCGCAACCAAGGTACATGCCCTTGACGGAATCGAACCCCAGACCCTTCAGTCCGCAGGCTGACGCTCTATCCACTGAGCCAAACCGATTTCGGCCGGATTTTTAACAATCTGTCCCATGTCCCATGGCATTTTAAATAAAACGCCTCGGGACGCGGGGCGAATTGTTAGAAATCGGGCCGTCTGGGACACACACACACCCACCCCCAGCCAGGTCACCTTGGAGCCCTGGTCCCTCCGCCAGCCACACCCAGTTGCCCCCTCTGTTTTATGACTTGCCCCAGTTCTCACCTGGCCTGCTGCTGGTTCAGGCTCCACACACACCCCAACCCCCCGACCCCTCCCACTGCACTCCACCCGGCTCTGAGCCCCGTCCCCAGCCCCCGAGCCCTCAGGTCTGGCCGGCACCTGCTGGCTGCATTGTCCACCCTCCCACCCCCCGCCCCTGCATGTGGGGGGAGGGGGGCTTCATGAAGGGGGCCCTGGGACCCCTCCCCAGCAGGCTGCACTCTGCCTGAGTCTGCACAGCCCTGCTCCCCGTGAGTCCCAGCTCGCATCACCTCCTCGATAGTCTCAGAGACCCCGAGGTCCCTGTGGCCCTGCCCCCCACACCCCGGCCTGCTGTCCATGGGGGTGACCGTGTCCCTCCAGCGTGGGGCTCGGGGAGCAGTGACAAGCGGGAGCCTGTGTGGATGCGTGGGATGGCGGTCACCTCATTCTTGTCTGACCCCGGCCATGCCCGTCTGCATGTAGCGACTTCTGTGACGTGCTCTCAGCCAGGCTGGCAACGGGCACCCGGAACTTTCCAGGCGGGGGGAGGGAGGGTGTGAGGCTGGAGGCAGGTGGTAGAGTTGGGAGATGGGCATGTGCAGAGCGCCCCCTGGTGTTTGCCCGCTGCCCCGCGTTCCTGGCTGAAGAGGGCAGTGCTGGGCAGAGGCCCCTACAGGTGGGGGAAGGGCGGAGGGGGAGGCCTGGCCTGGACGCCTGAGTCCCCGCTGAGACACCCCCCGCCCTCGGCAGCTCTGGACACGTCCAACGTGATGGTCAAGAAGCAGGTGTTTGAGCTGCTGGCCGCCCTGTGCATCTACTCGCCCGAGGGCCACGCCCTGGCGCTGGACGCCCTGGACCACTACAAGGTGAGGCAGGGGCGGCGGGGCAGGGCCGGGCCGGGGCGAGGCTCACACACTCACACTCACACACGCACACACACTCACACACTCACACACACACACTCACACACACTAACACTCACACACTCACACACACCCTCACACGCACACACACACACACACACACTCACACACACTCTCACACACAAACACACACACACACACCCTCACACACACTCTCACACACACTCACACAAACACACTCACACACACACACTCACACACAGACTCACACACACACACACGCGCGCACACACACACACACACTCACACACACTCTCACACACACACACACACACCCTCACACACACTCTCACACACACTCACACACTCACACACACACACACTCACACACACACACACTCACACACACACACTCACACTCACTCACACACACTCACACACACACACACTCACACACACACTCACACACACACTCACACACTCACACACACACTCACACACACTCTCACACACACACACACTCACACTCACACACACACCCTCACACACACACACACACATACACTCACACTCACACACACACACACACTCACACTCACTCACACACACTCTCACACACACACACACTCACACACACACACCCCCTCACACACGCACGCACACACGCTCACACTCACACACACACGCACACACACACACCCTCACACACACACACACACTCACACTCACACACACATTCACACACACACACACACACTCACACACACACACACACACTCACACACACACACTCACACACACGCTCACCCCCCCCCCCCCGCACTCACCCCCCCCCCAGGCCGTGTGCAGCCAGCAGTACCGCTTCAGCATCCTCCTGGCGGAACTCTCCGGCAGCGACAACCTGCCCTACGTGGCCACCCTGCTCAGCGTGGTCAACGCCATCATCCTGGGCCCCGAGGACCTGCGCGCCCGCACCCAGCTGCGCGGCGAGTTCATAGGTCAGCCCTGCGCTGCGAGCCCCCCCCCCCCCGGGCCCGACCCCCCCCCCGGGCCCAACCCCCCCCCCCCCGGGACCCAACCCCCGCCAGGCCCTGACCCCCCCCCGCACTGCGAGCCCCCCCGGGCCCGAACCCCCCACTGGGTCCTGACCCCCACCGGGCCCCGACCCCCCACTGGGCCTGATCTCCCCCCCGGGCCCTGACCCCCCCCCCGGGCCCTGACCCCCCACCTGGGCCCCGACCCTCCCAGGCCCCGACGCCCCCCGGGCCCGACCCCCCACCGGGCCCTGACCACCCCCCCCGGGCCCTGGAAGCAGCCTGGCCCCCAGCGGCCCCTTCGCGGGCAGGGACTTCTCGGTGGGAGGCAGGGTCCTGAGCCTGGTCCAGTGGTGACGGGACACTGGACGGTCACCACCGAGTGTCCCCCAAGAGGGCTCCCTCTGAGCTTCCTGTCCAGCGCCCTGTGGGAGGCCGGGACCCTCCACTCCACGCTGGGCTCGGGGTATCAGGAGGGGCCAGGGAGGGCAGCAGAGGAACAGTGACCAGAGGGGGTGCCGCTGACCCTCCGTCCCTCCCCAGGGCTGCAGCTGCTGGACGTCCTGACGCGACTCCGGTAAGTCTGGCCGCTCCCGCCTGCCTCCTCCCCGCCCCCCCCCCCCCCCCCCCCCCCGCTCCCACACAGCGCCGGGGGCAGGGCCGGGCCCCAGCAGCGCCCAGCCATCCCTTCCTAAGCTGGGCTGCCCGGCAGACAGGACCCCGTCAGTCTGGCCTCAGACAGACAGCTGCCGTAGCAGGGAGTGAACTTATGCTGGAAAACCACTCCTCGCTTCTCTCTTTTTTATATGTTTTTATTGGTGTCAGAGAGGAAGGGAGAGGGAGAGAGAAACACCGATGAAGAGAATCATCAATCGGCTGCCTCCTGCACCCCCCCACCCCCCAGGGATCCAGCCTGCCACCTGGCATGTGCCCTGACCGGGAATCGAACCCTGACCTCCTGGTTCATGGATCTATGTTCAACCACTGAGCCACACCGGCCCGACCATTCGTTGTTTCTCTGAAATTCCATTTTAACTGGGCTCCTGGGCACCCACAGAGCTGAGACCCTCCACCGAGGCCTCATCGGGACCCTCCCCGGGGTGTCAGCTCTGGGTGGGGGGCCCCGGGAGGCAGAAGCAGGCTGGGTGACCCCAGTAAAGGTCTTTGGGGTGCAGAGAGGGCCTGCCCTGCCGCTGAGTGCACAGCTCATTGGCCAGACTAAGATGACTGGCAGGTCCTGGGCCCAGTGAACAATCAAGCTCCCCCCCCCCCCGGCTCTGGCAGAAGCCCCCCCCCCCCCCAGCCCCGTCCCGGAGCCTCTGCCCGGCCGTGCAGCGCAGCCCTCGGCCCAGCGCCCCGCCTGCGGTGGCCCGTGCCCTGCTCGGGCGGCGTCCGGCTCAGCTGCCCGCCCCCCCCCCCCGCCCCCCCCCCCCGCACAGGGACCTGGAGGACCCCGACGTGCTGATCCAGCTGGAGGCCTTCGAGGAGGCCAGGGCGGAGGACGAGGAGGAGCTGCTGCAGGCGGGCGGCGGCGTGGACATGAGCAGCCACCGGGAGGTCTTCGCATCGCTGTTCCACAAGGTGGGCGGCCCCCGGCCGGCCCCCCCCCGACGCTCCGCCCCCTCTGTGTCCCCCACCCCGTCCCCCTCCGTGTCCCCCACCCCGTCCCCCTCCGTGTCCCCCACCCTGTCCCCCTCCGTGTCCCCCACCTCATCCCCCTCCGTGTCCCCCACCCTGTCCCCCTCCATGTCCCCCACCTCGTCCCCCTGTCCCCCTCCGTGTCCCCCACCCCGACCCCCTCCGTGTCCCCCACCCTGTCCCCCTCCATGTCCCCCACCTCGTCCCCCTGACCCCCTCCGTGTCCCCCCCTGTCCCCCCCCTGTCCCCCACCCCGTCCCCCTGACCCCCTCCGTGTCCCCCACCCTGTCCCCCTCCATGTCCCCCACCTCATCCCCCTCAATCCCCCACCCCGTCCCCCTCCGTGTCCCCCACCCCATCCCCCTCTGGCGCTGCACAGCGGGGCCCGGTCTGGAGCCACCTTGTGGAGCAGCCGAGCTCCGGTGACAGGGCCTGGGGGCCGGGGGGCCAGGGGGCCGGGGGGCCGAGGCCAGGGCTACAGAGGAGGCTGTGGTCGGGCCCAGCTGGCTGCCCCCAGGAGGGGCAGAGGGCACCGCAGACCAGGAGGCGGAGTTCTGGCCCAGCTCGGGCCTCGCCGGCCGGTGACCATCCTTCTCGGCCCCCGTGGTTCTCAGACCACGGCCGCCCCCACGGCCGCCAGGAGCCTCTGAGGCTGTGGGCCGCCCCGCGCGGGCAGGGATGCTGCTGAACGTCCCCCAATGCACAGCCAGCCCAGAGCGCGGGCCGGCCCGTGCCAGGGGGACCGCGCAGGCTGGTGCGCCGGCCCTGGAGGCACCGGCGGGCGGGGCCGCACGCTCCCGGCACCCCCGTCCGGGTGGCCGCTGACCGCGCCTCCGCCCGCAGGTGAGCCGCTCCCCGGCGTCCGCGCAGCTGCTGTCCATGCTGCAGGGCCTCCTGCTGCTGGACCCCGGCCCGCGCTCCGGCCAGCTGCTGTGGGAGGCGCTGGAGCGCCTGGTGACCCGGGCCGTGCTCCTGGCCAGCGACGGTGAGCGGCTCCGCCCGCCGGGCACCCCGGGGCCTCACAGCACGGGTGCCCTCCGTGACCCCTGACCCCGGCCCCCGCAGCCCGGGCGTGCACGCTGGACGAGGTGGTGGAGCGGCTGGTGTCCGTCAAGCGGCGGCCGGGCCCGGGCGCCCTGGACAAGGCCCACAAGAGTGTCCAGGCCAACCTGGGCCCGAGCTGGAAGGGCGCCGCGCAGGCCGGGGCGGAGGGCCAGCCGCCCGCAGCCACGCCCCCGGGCCCGCGGGCCGTCAGCGTCCAGAGCAGCGAGCGGCCAGCGGCCCAGGAACAGCCGACACCCACCCCATCCCCGCCGGCACCCAGCTCCCCCGCCCCGCCCCCTCCGCCCCCACCCCCACCCCCACCCCCACCCCTGCCAGGCTCAGCGGCCTCGTTACCCCCACCTCCCCCCCCACCCCTGCCCCCTCCCCTGCCAGGTCCAACCACCTCATTCCTCCCACCTCCCCCCCCACCCCCTCCCCCACCCCCACTGCCCGGCCTGAGTGGGCCCCTGCCCCCCCCACCTCCCCCTCTCCCGGGCACGGGCGGCCCGCCCCCGCCCCCGCCCCTGCCGGGCTCCGCGGCGCCCCCTGCCGTGGGCGGCGTGGAGGAGGTCGTCGTGGCCCACGTGGACCAAGGCCTGGGCGCCGCCCGGGTCCCCCGCCACCGGCAGGTCCACCCCCCGACACTGCGCATGAAGAAGCTCAACTGGCAGAAGCTGCCGTCCCACGTGGCCCAAGGTGGGCCCGTCCGCGGCGCCTCCCTCCCGGCGGGGGGGGGGGGACAGGATGGGGGGGAGGGTGAGGGGGACAGGGTGGGGGGGAGAGGGCGGGGGATGAGGTGGGGAGGACAGGGCGGGGAACAGGGTGGGGGCTGCCGATGGGGGGGACAGGGCGGGGGGACGGTGGGGGGGACAGGTTGGGGGGACGGTGGGGGGGACAGGGTGGGGGGAAGGTGCGGGGGACAGGGCAGGGGTTGCCGGCGGGGGGGACAGGGCGGGGGGAAGGTGGGGAGGACAGGGTGGAGGGAAGGTGGGGAGGACAGGGCGGGGGCTGCCGGCGGGGGGGACAGGGCGGGGGGAAGGTGGGGGGGACAGGGCGGGGGCTGCCGGCGGGGGGGACAGGGCGGGGGGAAGGTGGGGGGGACAGGGCGGGGGGACAGGGCGGGGTCTGCCGGCGGGGGGGACAGGACGGGGCGACGGCGGGGGGGACAGGATGGAGGGAAGGTGGGGAGGACAGGGCGGGGGCTGCCGGCGGGGGGGACAGGGCGGGGGGAAGGCGGGGGGGACAGGGCGGGGTCTGCCGGCGGGGAGCGGGCGCCTGGGCACGGGCCCCGGCGGTCTGTCCTGCTCCGGGCTCAGCCCCGTGCGGTCCAGGGCGGGCGGGCAGGAAGGAGCAGGTCAGAGGTCAGCCGTGGGACCTGCCTCTCAGGGACTTGGAAGCTGGTGTGTCTGATGCCACAGCCCTGCCCTGCTCAGGCCCCTGGGTGCTTGTCACCCTGGGGACCGGGTGCTGTGTGCTCAGAGGTCACAGCCAAGGTCAGCGAGGCAGGGCCGGGCCAGGCGAGGCCGGGACGGGGGGCCGGGCCGGGGGGGGGGGCCGGGGGGGGGGGGGGCAGGCGAGGCCGGGACGGGACAGGGGGCCGGGACGGGGGGCCGGGCCAGGCGAGGCCGGGCCGGGGGGCCGGGCCGGGGGGCCGGGCTGGGGGGCCGGACAGTGGCCGGGACGGGGGCCAGGATGGGGGGCTGAACGGGGGCCGGGATGGGGGACTGGACGGGGGGCTGGGCCGGGGGGCGGACGGGGGCCGGGACGGGGGCCGGACGGGGGGCCGGACGGGGGGGCGGGACGGGGGGCCGGGACGGGGCCGGGTGGGGCCGGGAGGGCATACGGGGGCTGACGGACGCCCCCCCCCCCCAGAGCACCGCTCCATGTGGGCCGCGCTGGGCAGCCTGGGCGCCGAGGCCGTGGAGCCCGACTTCCCCAGCATCGAGCGGCTCTTCTCCTTCCCCACCGCCTCGCCCAGGGCGCCCACCCCCGCCAGGAAGGAGCCCAAGGAGGTGGGCCACCGGGCGTGTCCCCTCCCCCCCGCCCCCGCCCCCCCGCGCCCCCCCCCCCCCGCCCACCGTGCCCTCCTTCCAGATCACCTTCCTGGACTCCAAGAAGAGCCTGAACCTCAACATCTTCCTGAAGCAGTTCAAGTGGTGAGCTCAGGGCGCCCCCCCCCCGCCCCCCCCCCGCCGGGCCCTGCCTCCCCGCGGTTCGCCGGGCTCAGCGCTGCCTCTGCAGGCCGCCCTGGGCGGTGCAGTCCTGGCGCGGCCGGACCGGACGGGGTGAGAGCCAGCCGCCCCGCGGGGCGGGGACAGTCCAGGCTCCTGCCCGCCCCCGGCGCCCCGGCAGGGCCCGGCCGGTCAGCCCGGCCTCCTGCTGTCTCCCCTCTGGGCCGACCTCACGGGTGACCAGAGGGTCCCGGGCCGGGGGCTCCCCACCCCAACCCCCGCCTCCCGCCCCAGCCCCAACGAGGAGGTGGCCGCCATGATCCGAGCGGGGGACACGGCCAAGTTCGACGTGGAGGTGCTCAAGCAGCTCCTCAAGCTCCTGCCCGAGAAGCACGAGGTCAGGGCCGGGGGGGGCTCCGGGGGGAGGGGGCCTGCGGGGGCTCCGGGGGGAGGGGGCCTGCGGGGGCTCCGGGGGGAGGGGGGCCTGCGGGGGCTCCGGGGGGAGGGGGGCCTGCGGGGGCTCCGGGGGGAGGGGCGGGCCTGCGGGGGCTCCGGGGGGAGGGGCGGGCCTGCGGGGGCTCCGGGGGGAGGGGGGCCTGCGGGGGCTCCGGGGGGAGGGGGGCCTGCGGGGGCTCCGGGGGGAGGGGGGCCTGCGGGGGCTCCGGGGGGAGGGGGGCCTGTGGGAGCACAGGGGGGAGGGGGGCCTGAGGGGCTCCGGGGGGAGGGGGGCCTGCGGGGACACAGGGGGGAAGGGGGCCTGCGGGGACACAGGGCGAGGGCAGGCCTGCGGGGGCTCCGGGGGGAGGGGGGCCTGCGGGGGCTCCGGGGGGAGGGGCGGGCCTGTGGGGGCACAGGGGGCGGGCCTGCGGGGGCTCCGGGAGAGGTGGCCGGGCGCACTGGCCGCCTCACCCTGGCGTGGGCCTCCCAGATCGAAAACCTGCGCTCCTTCACGGAGGACCACGCCAAGCTGGCCAGTGCCGACCAGTTCTACCTCCTGCTGCTGGGCATCCCCTGGTGAGCGGCCAGCCGGCTCCCTGCACCTCCCTCCCTCCCTCCCTCCCTCCTGCACCGGCCATGGGCCCCCGGGGGGACCTGAGGGCTCAGCAGGGCGGGGTGGGCGGGCGGCAGGGTCTGGGGGGGCAGGGCCCCAGCCTTTCTCAGAGGAGGGAGCCCCCAGGGAGGCGATCGCACTGGGTGCTGGTCGGCCAGCCCCGCCCTGGGCCCCGCCCTGCTGAGGCCCGGCTGGTGTGACCTGGAGGGGGGACCCAGCGGGCTGCGGGCCAGGGCAGGGGTGCCAGGCCGCCCTGACCCCGCGCTGCCCCCAGCTACCAGCTGCGGGTGGAGTGCATGCTGCTGTGTGAGGGCACCGCCGTGGTGCTGGACATGGTGCAGCCCAAGGCTCAGCTGATGCTCAGCGCCTGCGAGAGTGAGTGGGCCCGAGCCCCGGGGAGGGGCACACAGGCGGGCCCAGCCCTGCACCCAGACTGTCCCGAGGGCGCCCGTGGGTGCTGAGCCCCCTCATGCAACAACCACCCTCCCCGGCTCTGAGGCAGACTGCGTGTGCACGCCGGCACGCATGCATGTGCACAGACACCGTGCGCACACACACACACACACACCCCGAGTGAGGAGCCGGCGGGACCCGCTGCAGCCTGGCCCGGAGCCGCTAGCCCAGCCGGGCCAGCAGGGGGCACCCGCACCCACCGGAGACAGGGCAGAAGGGACACCCCCTGGGAGCCCCCCTCCCCCCCGGGTGGTTCGCCGAGAACAGGGAAGCCAGAGGTTCTGGAAGGTTCCGTGGGCTGTGAGGGGGGGGGGGGGCAGGCACCTCCCTGAGCCCCTCCCCCCCAGGCCTGCTCTCCAGCCGCCTGCTGCCCGTCTTCTGCCAGCTGATCCTGAGGATCGGGAACTTCCTCAACTATGTGAGCGGCCCCGCCCCGCCCCGCCCCGCCCCCGGCCCGCCCCGCCCCGCCCCTGCCCCGCCCCGACCCTGCCCTGCCCCGGCCCGGCCCCGCCCCGCCCCCGCCCCTGCCCTGCCCCGCCCCTGCCCTGCCCCGCCCCCGGCCCCGCCCTGCCCCGCCCCTGCCCTGCCCCCGCCCCCGGCCCACCCCGCCCCGCCCCTGCCCTGCCCCGCCCCGCCCCCGGCCCCGCCCCTGCCCTGCCCTGCCCCGCCCCTGCCCTGCCCTGCCCTGCCCCGCCCCGCCCCGCCCCTGCCCCGCCCCACCCCTGCCCCGCCCCCGCCCTGTCCCTGCCCCGCCCCTGCCCCGCCCCCGCCCTGTCCCTGCCCCGCCCCCACCCTGCCCCTGCCCATGCCCCTGCCCCTGTCCCTGCCTGTGCCCCCTCCCGCCCTGCCGCCCCCGGGAGGCAGGGAGACTCACCCCTCTCCCCCTCCAGGGCAGCCACACGGGGAACGCCGACGGCTTCAAAATCAGCACGCTGCTGAAGCTCACCGAGACCAAGGCCCAGCAGAGCCGCGTGACGCTGCTGCACCACGTGCTGGAGGTGGGCGCCGCCCGGGCCCAGGACACACACACACACACCCCACCTGCTGCCCCAGCCACACTCCGGAACCTCCCACTGCCCCTGCCTCCCGCCCCCTCCCCGGCCCCGAGATCCGGCCAGGGGAGGGCGGGCGGCCGGGCGGCCACGCCACGGCCACGCCACGGCCACCCCGTCCGGCTCTTGCAGGAGGTGGAGAAGAGCCACCCGGAGCTCCTGCAGCTGCCCCAGGACCTGGAGCAGCCCGCCCGGGCGGCCGGGTAGGTGCCTCCCGCCCCCGCCGCTCCGAGCCAGGCGCTGCCCGTCCCACCAGCGAGTACCGCCGGGACCCCCAGGGACGGCTGCCCCCCACGCCCGTCCCCGTGACCTGGAGGGAAACGGAGGCCTGGAGAGGCAGGGAATGGCCGGCCACGCTCACACCGAAGCCCTCCAAAGGCTCCCCTGAGCGGCCGCCTCCCCGCCACCACCCCGTCCAGACACCGGGGGCCCGGGGCGGGTGCACACGGGGGCTCCGCCGCCGGCAGGGGCACGCCCACCGCGGTGGCGGGTCCTCTGGCCCTCGCCTGCAGGCCCAGCGCCCGCCCATCCGGCCCGGCCCAGCTTCTGGCAGCCACGGGTGCAGGTGAGGCCAGCCACCCGCGGGCACCTGACCCCCGGCCTTTCAGGATCAACCTGGAGATCATCCGCTCCGAGTCCAGCGGCAACCTGAGGCGGCTGCTGGAGCTGGAGCGGAAGCTGGCGGCCACGGAGCCCGAGGTGCAGGAGCAGTACGCACGGCGCCTGCAGGCAAGTGTGCCGAGGGGGTCTGGGCGCAGCCCGCCCGTCGGCTGCCCGCCCGCCCGCTGGGTGCCTTAGGGAGAGGAGAGGCTGGGGGGCAGGTGAGGGGGGAGGAGAGAGGGGGGGCCCTGCAGCAGGTCCTGGTCCCAGAGGGGATCCTGGGAGGAGCCCCCGAGTCCCAGGCCCAGCCCCCAGACCCCCATCCCGCCCAGGGAAGCTGTGTGCAGGCCTGGCCCTCGCCCTCCCGCAGCCCCGGGCCCGGCTGCCCTGTGCCCGCGGGCCGCCCGCTGGGGCCTCCCGCCCTGACCGCGGGTGCCCGTGCCCCAGGACAGCATCGAGGCCTCCCGGGCGCTGGAGCGGGTGTTCGAGGCGGTGGAGCAGAAGAAGCTGGCGCTGGCCACGTACCTGTGCGAGGACGCGCAGCAGCTGAGCCTGGAGGACACCTTCGGCACCATGAAGGCCTTCCGTGACCTCTTCCTGCGCGCCCTGAAGGTGGGCCCCGGCCGCGGGGGCCGTGGGCGGTGGGCGGGCTGGGGGTCATGGTCCGTGCTGGCCCGCAGGAGAACAGGGACCGGCAGGAGCAGGCGGCCAAGGCGGAGAGGAGGAAGCGGCAGCTGGCGGAGGAGGAGGCGCGGAGGCCGCGGGGCGAGGACGGGAAGCCTGGTGAGGCGGGCAGGCGGGCAGGCGGGGCTGGGCGGGCCTCCCTCTCCGGCCCCGGAGCCTGCCTGAGGGTCCTGGGCTCCCAGTCAGGAAGGCGGGCAGGAAGCAGGAGGAGGAGGTGTGTGTCATCGACGCGCTGCTGGCCGACATCAGGAAGGGCTTCCAGCTGCGGAAGACGGCGCGCGGCCGCAGCGACGGGGACGGGGGCGGCCGGGCGGCCCCCGCAGGCCCCCCGAGGGACACCCCGCCTGGTGAGACCCTCACCGCCCTCTTCCGCTTGCTTCCCGCCTCCCCTGCCTGTGCCCTCCGCAGCCCACACCTCCCACCGGGGCTCCTGTCCAGCCTCAGAGGGCTCAGCGTTCTGGAGAAGGGCCGTGTGTATTAATAGATGAAGTGGGATTCCAGAGACGGAAGATGGTTTTGAGAGGCACTGGGGGGTCCGAGGGGCTTCAGCTACAGGAGCTGACGACTCTCTCCTGGTCTCAGGACCCTTGCTTTTTATTAACACAGTTTGTGCCAAGGCAAGGTGGATCTATACCCTTCAGAGGGTCAGGTACAGAAGCATTGCCAGGTTGGGGCATTGCCTCCAGCTGTTTGGGTGTTTGGCCAGTAGGAGGCAATAACGTGTAGATGGAGCTGCCTGGCAGCAGACAGCCATCCTATTCAGGTTTGGGGGAAGTGCCTTTTAGCCACTCCAACAGGCGATCCCATACTTGGCTCAGCCCTTGTTGAGCCCCCAAGTTCCATCAACCTGTTGGTGAAACTCTTGTAATGATGACGTGCTGGACCTGGCACTCCTTCCTCCGGGAGCCCTCCTCTCCTCTCCCCTGGCCGCCCCGAGAAGGGGACGGCGGGAGGTGGGGCGAGAGGCCGCTTGTCCAGCCCTGGGGCGGGCAGGAGACGGGGGCCCAGGCCCATGGGCAGATGCCTGTGGACAGGCCGAGGACGCTGAGGCCCAGGCGCGGAGCCACCAGCGAAGCTGGGCTGGAGGGGCACCCCCCCCCCCGACTGTTCCCGAGGAGGGTGCCCCCGGGACGGGGGAGGGGGCGCGCCCTGCCCTCCACCTACACGTGCTCCGTCCACAGCGGCCCCCAGCGGCCCCCCCGGAGGCCCCAGGGGCGGCCCCAGCAGCTCAGCCTCTGAACCTGCGCTTGACGGCGTGGCGGCAGCCAGGCCGCCCCAGGACTGGGACCTCGCGGACGCCACGGCGCCCCCGGCAGGCTCGGCGGCGGAGGCCGGCCCCGGGGCCCCGGAGAGGCGGTCCTCCTGGTACGAGGATGCCAGCGACGTCCTGCCCACGGAGGACGCGGCCTGGCCCGTGGTGCTGGGGGGCACGCGGGCCCTGGAGCCCCTCCCCTTCTCCGGCGAGCGGCCCCCCGGGGCCCCGGGCTCGGGCGGGGGCGTCCGCCGGGCCGAAGCCGACAGCACGGGGGAGGGGCCGGCAGACACGGCCGCCCTCGGCCACGGAGGACACGGCCCCCCGGCCACGGCCGCCCTCGGCCACGGAGGGGATGGCCCCCCAGCCAGGGCCGCCCTCGGCCATGGAGGACACGGCCCCCCGGCCACGGCCGCCCTCGGCCACGGAGGGGACGGCCCCCCGGCCACGGCGCCCGACGGGGACGGGGACCAGGACGACGCCCCGGACTCCGCGCTGGACACCTCCCTGGACAGGTCCTTCTCCGAGGACTCGGCGGCCGGCTCCTCGGGCTCCGGCACCCTCCCCGGGGCCCCGGGCCGGGCCACGAAGGGGACGGGCAGGCGCAGGAAGAAGCGCCCGACGCGGACTCAGGAAGGTGAGGGGCCTCCGTGGCGTCCCTGGGCGGCGGCGGGCGGGCGGGTCCTCAGGGCCCCGGCTCTGGCGTGGGGTCCGCCGGCCCCTTCATGCCCCGCCCGGCCTCTCCCTGCAGCCGGAGGCCCCCCTGCCCCTGAGACGGGGGATCCCCAGGCCCCCGCGCCCTGCAGGTGAGGGGTCAGCGGTGCTTCCGCCCCGGGAGGGGCAGGTGTGGGGCACCGCCTGCTCGCTGCACCCTCACCACGGAGCCTGCCACACCGCCCGCCTGGGAGGCTGCCGGGCGGGGGGCGGGCGCAGCCACGCCAGCTCAGCCCCACGCAGCCGCTCCGGGCGGGCGCCCGGGGGGACGGGCGCTGAGTGTGTCTCTCTCATTTGGAAGCAGAGGTCGCCCCTGACCCTGATGATAATAAGTCCAAAAGGTTCTGTGTGATCCAGTAAGGTAGGTCCACGCTGCCTGCACTAACGCTGGTGGCCCCGGTGGCGCTGGTGGCAGTGGTGGCGGCGAGGACGGCCCGCCCGGCCGCCCAGGCACTAACCCACCCCTAACCCGCTTCGCCCCCGGCAGCTCCCTCCCGCCCCCGCCTGGGCTGCCCCAGGAGGGCGGGCAGCGCAGGGCTGTGCCGCTGGCTGGTGTCCCTCTGCCGTGGCCGGTGCGGCCTCAGAGCTTCCCGCGGGCCGGCAGCCTTGGAGGGCGGGTGGACGGGCCTCCTGGTTGCCCGCGGGAGCCAGGCTCCTGGGCGGGGCTCTTGGGCCTGGCGAACAGGCTGAGGTTGCCCTGTGCCTGACCCGCCCAATCCTGGGCTTGTCTGACCCCCGCCCCCGTGTCCCCCAGGGCGACACCTTCTCTCTGGGATGGTCCGCAGGGCACCCCGCCCTCCTTGGTCCTGGGCTGGCCATCCTGTCCGCGGGAGGGCAGTGCGGGGCGCACAGGCTGACCTCACCCCTCCCTGGAGGCCGGCTGTCTGCTGAGAGCAGAGGCCTCCCCAGATCCCCCCTCTCCCTCCCCCCCAGAACAGGCAGGGGCTTTGCCAGGCCGGAGAGACACCCACATGCAGCCACAGGCCGGGCTGGTCCCTGCTGTGTCCTGGCCTGGCCGGGGGGGGGGGGGGGGGGCCCAGTGCAGGGAGCCCCGCCCCCTCCTGCCTGATCTCAGGGCCGTCTGCTCCCCACGTGCCTCCAGTGAAGGGGCGGGGGGTGCAGAGGTGAGGCCCTGCAGGCACCAGGGAGCAGAACGGGAGTGAGGGCACCTCTGCCCGGCTTGGCCCCCGGCCACCCGCCCTCCTGCCCTTTACAACAGCTCGGCCTGTCCCTTAGGGGCCAGGGAGTGGCCTTGTGGCCCCGCTGTGGGTGCAAAGGTTAAGCTGTGTCTCCCCACCTCCCCCCGCGGGGGGGGGGGGGGGGGGGCTGAGGGCAGGAGGAAGGAACCCCACTATACAAAAGCCAAAAACATATCTTTATTGATGTCAGAGAGGAAGGGAGAGGGAGAGACAGAAACATCACTGATGAGAGAGAACCGCTGATTGGCTGCCTCCTGCATGCCCCCTCCTGGGGATTGAGCCCACAACCTGGGCATGCGCCCCTGACCAGAATCAAACCCGGGACCCTTCAATCCCCAGGCTGATGCTCTATCCACTGAGCCACACCAGCCAGGGCAGGGATCCACTTAAAAAAAAACCACACACACACACACACACGTATCTTTATTTTTTTTTTTCCTTAATTTTTATTGTTCATATTATTACAAATGTCCCTTCCCCCCCTTCCCACCCCACCCTCTGCCCTTTCCCCTCCCACCATTGTCCTCATCCATAGGTGCACAGTTTATGTTCAGTCTCTTCCCACATCCCCCTCTCCCCTTTTCCCCAAGAATCATCAGTTCACTCCCCTTCCATACCTCTGATTCTATTATATTCAACAGTTAATATTGTTCATTAGATTTTTTTTTTTTAATTTCCTTGGTTTTTAGATTCACTTGTTGACAGTTACGAATTTGTTGTTCATAATTTTTATCTTTATTTACTTTCTCTTCTGAAAGAACCCCCTTCAGCAATTCATATAATTCTGGTTTGGTGTTGATGAACTCCTTTAGCTTTTTTTTATTAGTGAAGCTCTTTACCTGGTCTTCTATTCTGAGTGATAGCTTTGCTGGGTAGATTATCTTTGGCTGTAGGTTCTTACTATTCATCACCTTGAATATTTCTTGCCATTCCCTTCTGGCCTGCATGGTTTCTGTTGAGAAGTCAGCTGACAATCGTATAGGTGCTCCTTTATAGGTAACTACCTGCTTAGCTCTTGCTGCTTTTAATATTCTCTCTTTGTCTTTTGCTCTTGGAATTTTAATTATGATGTGTCTCGGTGTGGTCCTCTTTGGATTCCTTTTGTTTGAGGTTCTGTGTGCTTCCTGGACTTGTAAGTCCAATTCTTTCCCCAGGTGGGGGAAGTTTTCTGTCACTATTTCTTTCAATATGTTTTCGATATCTTGCTCTCTCTCATCTTCTGGGACCCCCATAATTCTGATGTTGGTTCGCTTGAAGTTGTCCCAGAGGTTTCTTACATTATCTTCAATTTTCTGGATTCTCTTGCCTTCTAGCTTCTGCAGAGGAGTATCTTCTGGCTCTTTATGTTCCAAATCTTTGACTTGATTCTTGCGATCTTCTATTCTGTTTTTAGGACTCTGTATAATAGTTTTTATTTCAGACAGTGTATTCTTTATTTCTTGTTGATCCCTTTTCATATCCTCATAAGTCTCATTTATTTTATCGGCCTTTTCTAGGAAACTCTTGAAAAACCTTATAAGTGTGGTTTTGAACTCTATATCCAGTCGCTTTTTGTCCTCCATTTCTTTCGTTTGTGATCTATTTGGTTTGGGCATTTTCGAAGGCAGCTTTCCTGATGGGGCGGGGTTTCAGGGTGGAGCCTACAGCTTTGGCTTCCGTCAGCCCCTCCCTATGCGACTCCTGAGACTCAGGGTCCTTCAGTACTTGTTGTAAGCGCCTCTGAGAGAAAGGCGCCCTCGATTTTCGCCTGCTGCCAAACAGTCAATGCTCTCCCCCACTGAGCCCGGAACTGGGGTTCAGTTCAGTTGGAAGTGGAGTTGGAGGTGGCGTTCAGAGCAGACTGGAGCCCCTGTCTCCTTCCCGCCAGGCAATCCCGCGGCACAGCCGGCCGTCTCTGCGCGGCGCCGCCAGGACCTTCTTTCGCCTCTTCCCCGGGTTCCGCCTTTTAGCCCGGCTCCCTCTGTGTGAGCCTGGGTCCCCGGGGTCTGGCCTAGGCCTGGGGTTCAGAGCAGTCAGAATGGGGCCCAGCACAGTCGGAGCTTTTATCTCCTTCCCGCCAGGGAACGCCCGCCAGGCACTCGGCCGCCCTCCTCTCCGGCTCCGTCCTCTCCGCGCGCCGTGCGTCTCCGTACCTTAGGCTTTTCCAGCTCCTCCGCGCTTCCTTCTGGTTATCTCCTTGCTTCTTGTTGTAGAATTTCCAGTCAGTCGACTTTCCTGTAGTTCTGGGTGATGTCCATTTTATATTTTAGTTGTATTTTATTAAAATTATTGCGTGCGGCTGCGGCTAGGTGCCTACCCGAGCAGCCATCTTGGATTCACACGTATCTTTATTGATGTCAGAGAGGAAGGGAAAGGGAGAGAGCGATGGAAACATTTGTGATGAGAGACACCCCACACGGGGATCCAGCCCGAGAACCACTGAGCCATCCCGGCCAGAATGCCACTTTTTCTTTGGACAAACTTCACCCTGACATGAAGTGTGCAGAGAGGTTAAACGAACACACACACACACACACACACACACACACACACCTGCCTTTTACCCCGGAACGGCCCCAACCTGCAAAATACAGTAAAGTGTTCCTTTTTGGTGCCCCCCTCCCTGCTCCACTTTACTGAGTGACCTCAGCACCCAGCTGCCCCTGTGTGTCTCCCAAGCACAGGCCGTGTCCCTGGAGAGCGTGCCACGGGCATTGGCGGGGGGGGCAGGTGGGCGGGGTGGGGCAGGTGGCAGGGCCCGGGCCCTCAGGCCCCAGCGGAGAAGGGGCAGGGCTTCTGGCCGGGGCCGGGCCTGCGGGAGCCCGGGAGGAGGTGGCATGGGACCGATGGACGAGGCAGCGAGGGCTGAGGCCCGGTGGGGCCCCAGGACCCCACCCCGCAGGGGAGAGAGCCCGGACCGGGAAGCCTCTGCCAGAGGAAGGGCCGGGACCCGGGACCCCGGGCAGTGGTGACAGGACGGCCGGGCTGGGACCAGCCGCGGGCACCCGGCGCTGCCCAGCCAGGCTGCTCCTCACGGCCATCCTGTCCCTCCACAGGCCGCAGGCCCAAGCCCAGAGCCAAGTGACGGCCTGGGCCACCTCCACGCAGCAGAGCCTGGACAAGCTGCTGAGCCGGGAGCCGGCCGGCCGGGGCGGCTGGGGCTGTGCCTGGGGCCATGGAGCTCGTGCCTTACCCAGCCAGGGCGTGGTCCCCAAAGCCTCGGGGGCACGGGGCCGCCTGGCACGATTGCCCGCCTGGCACCTGGACTGCCCATCTCACGCCCCTGGACTTCCCTCCTGGCACTGCCTACCTAGCACATGGACTGCCCATCTCGCACCCCTGGACTGCCCGCCTGGCACCTGGACTGCCCACCTGGCACTTGGACTGCCCATATTGCACCTGGACTGCCCACATCTCACCTGGACTGCCCACACACCTGGACTGTCCACCTAGCACCTGGACTCGCACCCCTGGACTGCCCGCCTGGCACCTGGATTACCCATCTCTCACTCCTGGACTGCCCGCCTGGCACCTGGACTGCCTGCCTGGCACCTGGACTGCCCGCATAGCACCTGGACTGCCCACCTAGCATCTGGATTGCCCGCCTGGCACCTGGACTGCCCGCCTGGCACCTGGACTGCCCGCCTGGCACCTGGACTGCCCATGCACCTGGTCTGTGTGGTCCAGCTCTAAGGCCAGTGCCACCCCCGCATGCACCTGGCACCCACCGGGGGGGGTGCTGGCGCTTTCCCAGGCACCTCACTCAGCTGGCACCTACTTTCCAGTGGCCTGGCACCCAGATTCCTCTGGAGACGCCCGTTACAGACCCCGAGCCACGGGGGCCGGGGGGCTGGAGCCCCGACGCCCGTGGCTCCCCAGCTCGCCGGCTGCGTGCTCAGCTGGAACAGAGTGATTTTAACAAAACACCAGCGACTGTGGGCGCATTTCTTCCTTCGTGGCGCCTGGGAGTGGGGTGGGGGGGCTTCTGGGGCGGGAGGAGCAGCCGGAGGGCACTGCCTGGGGCAGGATAGGTCCCCTTGCTCAGCAGAGGGGAGGGGGCCCGTGGAGGGTCCCCCACCCCGTGTGTCTAGGCCTGAGGGCGGGAGGTGCCCCTGTGGTCGGTTCTCGGGGATTCAAGCTGGTCAGAGGCCACATTTGCGTTTAACTTTTTATTCATTCATTTATTTATTTATTTATATGAGAGAGGGGGAGGGAGAGGGAGATAAACATCAATGATGAGAGAGAATCATTGGTGGGCTGCGTCCTGCACGCCCCACACTGGGGCTCGAACCCACAACCTGGGCCTGTGCCCTGATGGGGAATCTGCAGGCCGGCGCCCCACCCACTGAGCCACACCGGCCAGGGCTGCATTTAACTTTTTAGGAAACTGCCAAACGGGCTTCCAGAGCGGCTGCACTCCTCGTTCCACGCACACTTCCCAGCTCCGGGAGGCGGGCGGGAGTCCTGGTCCCCGGGTGCAGTGCCCCCCCGTGAGCTGTGGCCCCCGTGGCCGGGCCACCTGCTCCCTGATTGCAGCCAGGGTCACACAGCCAGGTGGGGGTCACATGGCCAGGTGGGGGTCACATGGCCAGGTGGGGGGGTCACACGGCCAGGTGGGGGGGGTCACACGGACAGGTGGGGGGGGTCACACGGACAGGTGGGGGGGTCACACGGCCAAGTGGGGGTCACATGGCCAGGTGGGGGGGTCACACGGCCAGGTGAGGGTCACACAGCCAAGTGGAGGTCACATGGCCAGGTGAGGGGGTTACACGGCCAGGTGGGGGGGGTCACACGGCCAGGTGGGAGGGTCACGTGGCTAGGTGGGGGTCACATGGCCAGGTGAGGGGTTACACGGCCAGGTGGGAGGGTCATGTGGCCAGGTGGGGTCACGTGGCCTGGTGGGAGGGTCACGTGGCCAGGTGGGGGGGTCACACAGCCAGGTGGGGGTCACGTGGCCAGGTGGAGGGTCACGTGGCCAGGTGGGGGTCACGTGGCCAGGTGGGGGTCACACTGCCAAGCCGCAGTCACAGGCCCCGCTGGGTGACCAGTAGTGCATGCCCCTGCGCAGGGCGGACGGGGCGGTGCAGGGGGAAGGCGGGGGGAGGGGTCTAATTCCGGCTGCCATGTGACCGCCAGCTGCCGGCCAGGGCTGTTTATAGGCGGCCAGACTCCGGCCGCTATTTATAGCCGCTCGGCCGGCTGCCACCGCCTCGGCCCTGCTGCCCGTCCAGCCCCGGCGTCCCGTGGTCCCTTCCTCGGGAGGGCCCGGAGCCAGGGCCACCCCCAGGAGTGGGCAGAGGGAAGCACCCTTGGTGCCGCCACCCCAGCAGGCCCTCTGCGCCCGGCGGGCATGCAGAGCCCAGCTCCTTCCTCTGGAAACTGGCAAACAGGAGCCTCCGGGGCCGCTGGTCCCTCTGCCTCACCCGCCCCTCCCCGGCCACACAGCCAGCTATAGCGCCCCAAACCCCTGCCCCCCGGGTCCCCGAGCCCCGGCACAGCCCCCCTCCCGGGACGCCCTCACCCGCCCGCCTTTGGTGGCATTCCCTCTGCCCGGCCCTCTGCCCCCGGGGGTCCCGGGACCTCCGCCTCCACCATCGTTAGGAAGCTGTGGACAGGAAGCCTGACCCCCACATGTGGTGTTGACCCCGACGTGCTGAGGGGCAGGAACCATTGGTGTCCCGTGTGAGCAGAGGGATGGGCCCCGAGGGGCCGAGTGACCAGCCAGGTCAGCCCGCTCCCACCCGGAGGACAGCAGGAGCGAGAGGTGCTGGGCAGCGCAGCCTCTGTGGGCTGACCTTACGCCCATGGGTGACCCTGTGTGACCAGCCCGGTCCGCCCTTCTCCCTGGGAGTGCCGAGCCCGTCCAGTCTTGGGGCTCCGGGAGCCCCCAGCCCTCGGCTCTCCGGGCCCGTCAGGGGTGAGTGGACAGGCTCTGCCCTTCTGCAGGGACAGAGCCCAGGGAGGGAAGAGGGGCTCAGGGTGTCTCCAGGGGCCCACAGCTGGCCCCTCCTCCACACCCAAGCAAGAGTCCACTCAGGGCCTTAGCCAGTGTGGCTCAGTGGTTGAGTGACGACCTATGAACCAGGAGTTCACGGTTCCATTCCCGGGCAGGGCACGTCTTCCCCCATGGTCGTGGGCCCGGTCCCCAACGTGTGCTGTGCAGGAGGCAGCCGTCTATGATTCTCTCTCATCACTGACGTTTCTCTCTCTCCCTCTCCCTCTCTGAAATCAATACCAGTAAAAACATATTTTCAGGAGTCCCTTGGGGAGTGAGGGAGAGGGGTGGGGGGGTGAAGGGGGGGTTGGAGAGTGGAGGGGTTTGGGGGGGGGGGGCCCAGGCAGTGCACCCAGCTCGAAACTCAGCTGCTGAGCCTGTCCGGGCACCCAGTCCCTCCACAGGCCGGAGGGGACAGAGGTCTGGGTGGGGCCTCCCCGAGTCCCTGGCCCTGCGCATCCTGGCTGCCCCCGGCCCCCGCCTCCCAGGCCCCCGCCCCGCCGGGTGGCCCTGCAGCACCGGTGTGACACCGCCCGCCCCGCCCGCCCGGGAGGCCTGTCCTGCGCCGAACGCCTGGCCCCGCGCGGAGGAGACGCTGTCCTCCCCGCGGCCACCAGAGGGCGCGCGCCGGGCCGGGGCCGGGCTCGCCGGCAGGTGTGCCCCCGCCCCCTCCGCCCCGGAGGCGGCCCGCCAGGCGGGGCGCAGGGACCAGGCTCCCCTCTGGCCGCCGCCCCCGCGCGGGAGGGGACCCGCCGTGTCTGGGCCCCAGGCCGGCTCCGGGGCGGGTTCGCAGCGCCCAGGCCTGGCCACGGCCGGGAGGGGGGGGAGCGGGCGCCATGGTGACGTTCCGGGGCGCCCGGCCGGCCGCGGGGGGACCCCGCCGCGCGCTCCCCGCGTGCGCGCCGTCCGTCCCGCCGTCCGTGCGCCCCGATGCCCGCGCCACCCGCCTCCGGGCGGCGGGGCGGGGCGGCCGGGGTCGGGCGTCACGGGCGTCACGGGCCCGCCCCGCCGGGCGGCGCCTCTTAACGGGGGCGGCGGCCGGGCGGCTCTCCAGCCCAGCCCAGCGGCATGGCCGCGGCCCGCGCCTCCAACGACCGGCCCCCGGGCGCCGGAGGCCTGAAGCGCGCGCGGCAGCAGCAGGAGGCGGCGGGGGCCCGCGTGACGGTGGTGCTGGGCGCGCAGTGGGGGGACGAGGGCAAGGGCAAGGTGGTGGACCTGCTGGCCACGGACGCCGACATCGTCAGCCGCTGCCAGGTGCGCGGGCCCCCCTCCCCGGGGCCCCCACGGCCCCCACGACCCAGGCTCCGCCGCCGGGCACCTCCCAGCGCCGCCCCACCGCTCACACAGCTCCCCTCCCTGCGCGGGACCCCTTCCCCAGGGACCCCGCCTCCCCGCCACCCCCACCCCCCCATCCCCGCCGGGCGCAGAGCTATAAATACAAGTCCTGCTGAGTTGGGGACACTGGATCCTCAGGGGGAGGGGGTGCCGTGGGCATGCCCTCCCGGGGGGAAGAGGGGGTACCCAGCTCCAGGGTGGTTTGAGGACACCCGGAGACACCCCATTCCTCATTCTGCCTGGGCCTGGGACTGGGCTGGCTGACCCCACACAGGGGTCCGGACCCGGAGGGGGCTGGGTGTTGGGGAGCCCGGGGGCGGCCGGAAGGAGGTGACCCTGGGCCAAGCGGAGGGCAGGCCAGGGAGAGCCTGAGGGAGGCCAGGCGGAGGGAGGGAGGAGCCGGACTCCTGGCCTGGGTGCTCGCGGCTGGCAGTGCCACTGGAGGCCAGGGCAGTCTTTGCCCCGAGGGCCGGGGCGGCCTCTGCTGGCTCCTGGGTGAGATGCGGGTGCTCCCCGGGCACTGCCCAGGCCAGGCTGGTGCCCGCGGCGGCTGAGGCCGGCAGGTCGGGGCGCAGAGGGGCGCACACTGCCGCTGCCAGGGCCGGAGCCTCCGCGGATGCTGTCCCCGGGAAGGGGGCCACTCCTCCCGGCTGGGCCTCTCCTGGGCACCCAGAGGCACCAGCTCCGTCAGCACGGCGCCCCGCTCCCGGCACGGGCTGCCCCGGGCTGGGGGAGCACCCGCCCCCCTGAGCTCCCGCCTGGATCAGGGAACCTCAGCAGCGGGACCCCCTCTGCCACGCTGACCCTGGTTGCCTGGAGCTCCCGGGCCTGAAGGTCCCCTCTCTGTCCTGAGCCACGGGGAGCAACCCCCATCCAGAGCCCCCGCCCCCCAGGCCCTGCTGTGTGAGCCAGGAGCCAGGCCCCTCTGTAGCCTGGGGGAGAGGGTGGCCTGAGGGCTGCTCCCCGTCCCGACCCAGCCGGGGCACCCCTCCAGGGCACCCCTCCTCCTGCTTCTGCTCCAGGGACGCAGCCGCCCACCGGGCCCTCTCCCTCAGGAAGTGCCTTTGCAGTTACGTGCACGCCCTCCTGGCGCACAGGCCCTCCCACCACTGCAGAGACGGCTCTGGAGCAAGCTGGGTCTGCAGGCCGAGCCAACAAGCCCCTCGCCCCCCACCCAGCCCCTCGCCTCCAAGTGCCCCGGACACAGCCACGGCCTCGCAGGTCCCCCCCTCTCCCCGCTGGGCCTTCCCTCGCCGCAGCTGCACCCACAGCTGCACCCACACCTGCACCCCACACTTGCACCCTATAGCTCAGTGTTTCCCAAACTTCTCTCATGATGAGAATCACCTGGTGGAGTTGTTAAACTACAGATTCTTGAATCCCAACTAAGAAGTGCTAAACTGGGATTTTGGGGAACATACAGCTCCAATTGTATACTCACCTAGTCTCTAAGCTAGTTAGGTAGACAGAGCTCCACCAGGGATGCTCACCACGAGAGAAGTCTGGGGACACTGAGCTGAACCCACAGCTGGGCATGCTTTGCTCTCATCAGTCTTTGGCCCGTGGCTGGTACCTCCTGCTGTTTCCTTCCCTCCGGGGCGTGTTTCCCGGTGGACTCCCTTCCCCCGCAGAAGGCCTGATGGCTTCTGACCCCAGGGCCTGATGGCCTCTGACCCCAGGGCTTGATGGCCTCTGACCCCAGGGCTTGATGGCCTCTGACCCCAGGGCCTGATGGCCTTTGACCCCCGGGCCTCCCTTGTCCAGGCCTTGCTCCCAGGCCTGGCTGGGGCGGGGGGGGGGGGGGCGGGGGGCGGGGGAGGGGAGCAGCTCTTGGTTGGGAATGAATGAATGAATGAATGGATGGATGGAACCTGCCAGCGGGTCCCACACAAGAGAGCCTTGCATAGGTGGGGGCTCCTGACTTCCCCCGGACCCAGGGCCCCTGTACCCCCCTCACTCCCCCCGAGCGCCACCCTGGTGGGTGCTGCTTGCATCTTGTAAACCCCGCCGCTGCCCCAGTCTGGCAGGCTCCTGGCCAGGGCCGCTGCCCCAGCCACGCCGGCTGGCGGCTGTGCAGACGGGGGAGCCCGTCCCTGCCCCATCTCACCTCGCTCCTCCCTTTGTGCTCGTTCTGCACACGGGCCAGGCTGGGGGTGGACACAGGCTGCAGGGCTGGCTCTTGTCCGGAGTGGGGGGTGCTGGATGGGGGGCAGGGGAGACAGGCCAGCCGGCGCCGCCGGGGAGCCTGGGCCATGGGCACTCTGAGGCCTGTCCCAGGATCGAGGAGAGTGTGTGGGGTCAGAGAAGGAATAGGGGGGCAGCTGAGGGGGTGGGGAGGTGGGGAGCCTTCACGCCGGTAGTGGGGTGCGCAGGGCCAGGGCAGACACGGGAGAGCAAGGCTGGGCAGGGACCGCCCCCCCCCAGTGTGGAACATGGGGTGAGGAGCGGTGTGGGACATCAGGGCTGCATGAGCCTTGGGGTGACGAGGAGGGTGCAGAGGCCACACAGGCCGGTAGATGTGGGGGCCGGGGGGAGCCCGGGGTGTGTGGCATGGCCCAGGGTCACCACGGCTGCTCCCTGGGGACAGGCTGTGCCCGTGGCTGGATGCCTCAGCCCGGCAAAGGTCAGGCTGGCCAGGTTCCTGAGTGGCCGGCTGGCCGGGGCCCCGGTCCGGTCCCTAGTCTGAGGGTGAGGTGGCCCCTTTTCTTAGATCCCTGACGCCGGAGGCAGCTGGGTCCAGCAGGGACTGAGCGGCAGGGGTGGGGGCGGGGCCGAGGGGAGCCCCGAGGGGCGGGGCCTGAGGCCGGGCTGGGGCCGGCCATCACCTGTCTCCCGCGGACTGGCCAGGCGCCCTCCCCACTGGCTGCCCTCCGAGCAGCAGCCTGGGCCCTCCCTGGGGCCGGCCGATGCCCCTGCAGCCCGGCCTGGCTCTGCACCGGCTCCTGCGAGGCTGCAGGAGAGGGGCGGCGCTCAGAGGGGGCGGTCCCGAGAGCACTGGGCACCGGGCAGGGAGGGGGCCACTGCCCTGGCCCTGCTGCCAGCTCCCTTCTCTGGGGACCTCAGTCTCCCCATCGGTCCTGGGGACCATGCCCTCCCCTGGGCTGACCCTCCCCCGGGATGCCCCTCTCCCAGGCTGTCCCTACCCCCGGGGCTGTCCCTCTCCCAGGATGCCCCTCCCCTGGGATGCCCCTCCCCCAGGAGGCCCCTCCCCCGGGGATGACCCTCCCCCCGGAGTGCCCCTCCCCCAGGATGACCCTCCCCCCCCCCGGGGTGCCCCTCCCCCAGGCTGTCCCCCCCATGCTCCTCCCCCAGGATGCCCCTCCCCCGGTGGTGCCCCTCCCCCGCGATGCCCCTCCCCCAGGATGCCCCTCCCCCCGGGATGCCCTTCCCCCCTGATGCCCCTCTGGGGGCAGAGACGGCTGTGGGTGTGGCCTCGGCTGTGGGTGTGGCCTCGGCTGTGGGTGTGGCCTCGTGTGCAGAGAGGCCCCTGAGGGATGGCTGCCCCTGTGGGGACACAGGGCAGAGCCAGGACGCACCCCTGGAAGGTAGAGGGACCCCACAACCCAGACCTGTCAGTCAGGCATGGGCCGGTCTGAACAGCCAGCCACCCCTCCTGGCGGACGGAACAGCACCCAGGCCCCCCTCCTGGCACCTGCGTCTCCCTCCCCCGGTCCCTAGAGGCTCACCCAGTCCCCTCCCAGCAAGGCTCCACCCGGAGCCCCCAAGGCCTGGCGCCCTGTCCCCTCTCATTGGGACCCTCCTCGGACCCAGGCCCGGCACCCCCTTTCTCCTCCCCCCCCTGCACATGCGCGGTCCCCACAGCCAGCCCCGGTCCCAGGATGCTCGGGGCCCCGGAGGCAGCCGCGGGCCTCGGGGCTGGGCTGTGGGACGGGCAGGGCCCGGGCGCACACCTGGACAGCCTTCTGCCCGGGCTGGGTGCAGGGAAGGTCCCGCCACGGGGAGGCCGGGCCTCACGCCTGGGCCGGCGGGCGGCTGGGGGCGGCCGTGAGCGGGCGCCGGGCGGCGGGGACCCCGCTGATGGGCCCTGGCGGGCGGAGGGCCAGGGCTCCGGCCGCTCCACTGGTTCGGGGACTGTCTCCCGTCGCCCCCAGCCCCCATGTCGGAGGAACTTGTGGGGGGAACGCTGCTGGGCCCTGGGCGGCCTGGGGGACGCGGGGGCCTCAGTCTCAGCCATGACCCCGCGGTCAGATAGCGTGTGGAGCGGGCCCACGGTAAGCCTGTCTTGGGGAGATGGAGGCAAGAGGGGGGGCAGCGGGCTCAGGGCCCTGGGGACGGAGTGGACACGGGGACGGTCAGGGGCTGGGCACCAGCGGGCAGGGGCCCCTCCCTGGGCTCTGCTCATCCCTGGGGGACCCAGGAGGGAGGGCAGCCGGGAGGGGCCCCCACCCAGACCCTGGGGACCCCGGGGCCCTCTGGTGGCAGGTCATGGGGCTGCGGCCGGACTCCCCCAGGACGTGACCTTCCCTGCCAGCCCCGCCCAGGTCAGCAAGACTCCCAGAAAGAAGGGGCCCCTGGCTGCACCCCACAACAGGCGGGCCTCCAAACTGCCTTTTCATTCTTAGTGGA